GTACCGCGAAAGCCAAGAGATCCACTTTCAGGATCTTTTTGTCAAAAAGTCCAGCACCGGAATTTTTATATCTTATCTTAAAAACTTTTGCAAGCGTGCAAATTTCTCGAAAACGAAAAAATAAGACTTCTAAATTTTTTCAAACTGAAAAAATTTCAGCGCAAACAGGGTGCCGCGCCTGTCTGCTGTGAGTCAGCGCATAAAAAATCTTTGTTAGCATGCTAATATAGAACTTTTGTTATATAAAGAAAGTGTAAATCTAGGACTATTTGTAGTAAAAAAACCAAAAGCTGTTTGCCTTTTCCGGCGTTGGAAAAAAAGAACAAAACAGATGACGCACTCTCCAAGGAAGCTGAAAAAATCGTTTACTTCCAAATTTTTTAGGGTATTTTGAGGCAAAAAATATTTTTCTTTGTTGATTCAGTGGTTTCAAGGTTTGGAGAACACATATAGCAAAAAACGCGTCAAAATTCGAATTGGAAGTACTTTAGGCCACGAACTTTTCAAACACCCTGTATATGGCGAATGTGGCTGTCCACATAAACACAAGCGTCTTGATTTCGAAAAGTGTTCTTTTCCTTCGTATCTGGTAATCCTTTCATTTTCTTGGTTATTCGAGTGGTAGTCTGTTGGAAAGAGAGTTTCCGTCGTTAGCAAGATTGTCTCTCGTAATGAAATGATGCTGCCGATAATGTTTATGATTTCGCTAACATCAAATGGATCATCTTGTACCGCTTCTTTCTGGATAGCGGTCGTACAGATGGATTCGGGAAATTTGGAGAAGATGATTCGACGCCAAATTCTGTTTGCGTTCATCTTTGCTCCCGTTTGCTCCAGGTGAATGATCCTCGAGTAGATAGCTTCGAAGGTGTCTCGGCAACTTTTCGGATCATCTGAGGCCTTGAATAATTTTTCGATCTCGTTTATGAGTATATCTGCCATGTTGCCCGAGCGATCGAAATGTTTCTTCAAGATATCTATAGCAGTCTGATATCTTCTTCCGACGACGGGAATGCAGCTAAGGGTGTCTGCTGCTTTTCCCTTCAAAGCTTGTTTCAGAAACAAGAATTTGTCCGTGTCGGATAGCTCCTCGTCGGTGTGGATGAGTGATTCGAAGACTGTCCAGAAGATGTTGAACTCCCGGGAGTTGCGTGGGAACGTGGGAATTTCAAGCATGGGCTTCCGAATCTTGATCTGTCTTTCGTTGCGTTCCGAAGTTCCAGCTTGCCGACTCCACTACTTGGCTGAATCGGTATGCTTGGAGTATTGCAGTGCACCGCTCTTTGTTCCTTGAGTTCATGTTGTCGGAACTGGATTCTGTTCCGCCACTGTACTGCCATGACCTCCAGAAGAGAGTCCAACTCAAGGTGTTTTCTGAGCTCAGTCATCAGCTTTTCTCTTTCTTTTTCCTCGTTTCTTGAGCCGATATATTCAATTGCGGCATTCACTTGAGTGTCTTGAAGTTTGACAGTATTTTGCAGAGAATTGAGCAAATGCGTGATTTGTCTCGCATTCAGTCTTGTCCACAGGAAAAGTGAATGGTGTGTCAATTTTATTCGCTTCCGACTCGTATGACTTCACAAGTGCGCAGGCATTGTTGATTTTCGATTTGAAGATTTGGAGCGCTGCCATTTTTGTATTGCACAAAGTTGTGTTCGATGCGTCCGTTGAGTGCTGGTTGCGAGTGTCACAAAAGGAGATGCGTATCCCGTTTGTTGTACGCTTTGTTTTGAGGACGACAGCAAGGCTGGCCTCTTGTTATAGCTGTCCTTACTGGGTGCAAGGACAGCAAGCGTGCCTGGCCGGCTTGTACGCTGTACTGGACGGTAAGGTGACTTGGACCTTTACCGTGAGGATTGATAGCAATTTGAAGCTCAAGTTTTGGGTGAACTTTGAACTTTTAGCTATTGCCAACTGGTCTTTTACTGATCTCTGGCTGTAAAGAGAGCACAGAGATGTTCAACTTGCAGTGGTGTTTGTCTGACCAAATGACGCTTTTACTAACTTCTGGTCGTCTTACGAAAAGAGAGCTCAGAAGAGTTCAATTAATCAATGGTGAGAAGTTCTACAGCCGGGGCTTTTACTACTTTCTGGTCGTTTTACGAAAGAGAGCTCAGAAAGGTTCAATTAACCAGTGAGAATTCTTGAGCTGACGCTTTTACTACCTCCTGGTCGTCTTACGAAAGAGAGCTTAGAAAGGTTCAATTAACCAGTGAGAATTCTTGAGCTGACGCTTTTACTACCTCCTGGTCGTCTTACGAAAGAGAGCTCAGAAGGGTTCAATTAATTAGTGGAGAAGTTCTACAGCTGGGGCTTTTACTACTTTCTGGTCGTCTTACGGAAAGAGAGCTCAGAAGAGTTCAATTAATCAATGGTGAGAAGTTCTACAGCCGGGGCTTTTACTACTTTCTGGTCGTTTTACGAAAGAGAGCTCAGAAAGGTTCAATTAACCAGTGAGAATTCTTGAGCTGACGCTTTTACTACCTCCTGGTCGTCTTACGAAAGAGAGCTCAGAAGGGTTCAATTAATTAGTGGAGAAGTCCTACAGCTGGGGCTTTTACTACTTTCTGGTCGTCTTACGGAAAGAGAGCTCAGAAAGGTTCAATTAACCAATGAGAATATGCTAACTAACGCTTTTACTACCTCCTGGTCGTCTTACGAAAAGAGAGCTCAGAGGGGTTCAATTAATTAGTGCAGGTGCTGCCACGCGGGTCTTAGGCCTTGAATTCCCGTTCCTTAGGTAAAGGAATCGCTTAGGAATTGCAAGGAAGTTCACTGGACGATGCACCATTTTGGTGTGTACCAAGTGAAGGGTGGACGAGTAGTTGTGGAATAGGTTTATTCACACTGACCTAGATTAGTTGATAGCGATCATCGAGGTGTCCCGGTGTGGACCGAGGAGCAACCTCTCATACATTCGGAGGCTCCTTATATACGAAGGAAGGCGGAGCTGAACCGAGTACAGGGTACAATATACACGAGTTGGTGCTTGAAAGGAGATGCCGCCGATTGGCAACACTCCTGGCGCAGAGGTACCACTCTTGAGCGATTAGATACTCACGAGTGAGTAGCTCACAATCTAGCCTATGAGATTCCCTAGGCTATCTAGAATATGGAGTTCATCAAGGTTGATGATACAGAAATCATCAACAGTATGGAAACTCGCATTCCTCCAATTCTATGGGGCAGTTTAAATTTAGATGCGGATTGTGATTGCTTTTTCGATCAGCGAGATAGCTCGCACTACTATTGGCACCAAACCGGCAAACAAACAGCTATCGAGTTCCAGCTCATGGTCCGAGTTCATATACTAGAAGTAAATATGTTGATAGCCCTGCTTCTCTTCCTTTGGCTTGCTCATGGTTTTGGTTCGCAAAGATCCACCTAGTAAGCATTCTTGCTTGTGAAAGCTATATTGCACAATTGCCTGAATTCTATTTTTAGAGACCTTTCGCGAACGCAGGCTTATTTTAGGCTGATTATGAATAAAATTTAGGGCGGGGGTAGATAAGGGTGCTGGTAATGAATAAAAATTTACTTTATTGATTTTATTTTTATGGAAATCATGAGCTACCGGGCTGGGAGTTGGTATACATAAGAGGTGTGAGGGAGCTGATTATCAATAAAGGGCTTTAGCGGGGTATGTCAGCAAGTTTTATATATGTTGCTCTAGTTATTCGATGATTCATTCGAATATTTATTCGAAATTCGACTCCTAAGGTTCGAATATAATCTTTATTCATTCACTCGATACTTTTGATTTTCCGATTTTATTCGGGATTCATTCACTTGAAAAAAATTTTCTCAAAGTCGATATTCGTTACAAGTACTGTGTATACAGGAGTATAAAGTACAATTAGTAGGGATCCTTTGCTCTCTTCGTTGCTCCGGAGCGTTCGCTTCCGAAGCGACATTTTGCGACGCTACTTGGGCATCTTGGTAGGAGGCCCTACTATTGTTTGCTGTCAAAACTTAAGACCACCAACATAGGGTGGACAGTGCCTTTAGAGACAGTGGCTCGGGAAAATTGCAATTGCGAGCTTTCCATCCCTCCTTGGCTATCTGGATGCTGAGCCTAGGGCTGTGCTTAAAAGATCAGAACCGGTCTTGTAGATTGCTGGAGGGGATGGGCCAGCGATCGCCAACTGTAACGCGATTGTCTGCCTGAGCCGATCAGCTAATTGCCGTCAAAATGGGTGGAGTTACACCCTCCTGCAGCCAGGCGCTGTTTTTGGCGGGTGCTCGCCCAGCTCCTCAGCAATTTCCAAGGCTGTAAAACTTGAAAAAAAAACGATCTTTGCTTTTTGAGCATAGTCCTGGACTCAGTCCAGAAGGCTTTGCGGCAGTGTTCGGGCAAGAAGTTGATTGAGATGTTGTGCTTACCTGGGCTTCCCCTCATTGAAGTTACCATCCCAGCTTCAGAGGCAATCCTTTCGCTTTCGCTGGCCGTCCTAACATCTCCACTGGCCAAGTGATAACGAGTGACTTGCAATTGGAACCGAGGGGATTGCTTTGGAAGCTGGAATAGTAACTTCACAGAGGAGAGGACCCCGTCCACTTCTTGTTTTCCCTCCACAGTTAGAGCCCTTTTTCGCCGTTTTCGCGCTCTTCAGTGTGTCTTGGATTCAGCATAACGAATATGTCCAGGTAGGCGCAAAATCTAAAAATCGATTTCTTGCCCGGACACTGCCTTTAAGCACACTTAATAGCTGACTTTTGGATAGGACCGGTGGTATTTACATGCGGCGGTGATGAGGGGCAGCGCGAGGCTTGCGCCGCGAAACTCGAAGGAAGTCGTGCAGTACCCGACAGAAAGTTAGTGATTAATTCATGGAAAAATGAGGAAGCAAGTTATCCAACGTTCATTTATGAAACTGACTTTTCCATGGAAAGTGAGCGTGAGATACAGTTTTTTTCTCGAAAATGAGTTTCTTTTTCATTAAAATATTCACAAAGTAGTTTACAGCTACTCCAAGAACAAATAAAGATATCTTTTTTAGGTGACATTATTGTTAATGAATCTAGTATCATTTTTGGCGATTCGATGTATCGTGCCATACTTTCTATTGCCGTATATTGCGATGTCAGTTTTTTCGCTGTTTATCGCAACTGCACTAATAGGAGTTACTAGTAAGTTTATCTTCACCGAAATTGAGTTCTAGAGTGTCATACCACGTGCTTGCTAGCAAAACTAACTTTTTTGCTGAATGGCTTCTGATCGCTATACTGGTGCTTGTGTGTATTGTCAAAAGTGTGGTTGTAGTTACACATAGTGCCCACAAAGGCAGTGTCCGGACAAGGTGGGGGTTTTGGGATTTCAGTGCCATGCGAAAGTGGGCCCCTCTGACACGCCATCGCGCAAGTGCGAGGCCCTAACGCTTGACTACAACTAGGAATATGGTCGGAAAGCTGGGAAACTCACGCCCTGGGGCGGGACTCTTCGCCTTGACTTCCGGCTCTGCAGCAGAGTACGCATGCCGCCATATTCAAAGTTGTAGGGTCCCGCAGCGATTCTGCGTCTCAGCCTTGGAGGGAACCATCCTATTTCAAAATGTAAGGCTTCGGAAAACGCATGTCCGCCGTTTCCGCGCAGTCCAATGTAAATCTTATTCAGCGTTGCGGATAATCCCAGGTAGGTGAGTATTCTAGAAATCGCGTTCTTGCCTGGACATTGCCTATAAGCGCCACTTCCGCCGCTTGTTTTCGCAAGAGCTATACATGTGGAAGAAAATCAGTCATCTGCGCAGTTTCTTTTGTCCACACCATTCCTTAGCCTAATGCAGTTTGCTCTTCACGCGATGTGTTGTGACCACTGAAGTTCAAACTTGAATCCTAAAGTGTTGTAAGACTTGATGCGTTTTACGCGTACCCTCACCAGGGTCAGGCGTGGGGTGTGACACGCCTCACGGGGGGTCGTATTCAAGGTTCAAATTGGGAAGGGAATTGTAGTCGAGGTGATTAGCGGCAACAAGATCCGTCAACAGCGTCAGATAAGCACATTATGAAGAGTACACGCACGCTGAGATCTTCACCTATCTTTGCATAAGGGGGTGGTGCAGGAGGAACCAAAGGGCTGATCTTCATAACTTTGCCTAGAGATGACTTTTAAAAAATTTGAAAAACAGATCTTTAATGCAATTGGAAGGCATATTCACTGGGCTTAAAGGCAGTGCGTCGGCAGAATGAGACCCGTGGCAAAACAAGGTCACAAGGTAGGAGCCCCCACAATGGAACCTATGGGCCAAAGTTCGATCTTTCTCTGCCACTTCTAACCCCCGAAATTTCATAGCGAAAGCAGCGCTCATCTCCTGTCCTCTTCGAACCCGCCCACCCCATGGACGAGTGAACGCGAAGTCTCATGGCGAAGACGCAGCGTCGTTGCAGGACCTCATGCTTATAGCATTGCGGCTGGCGCTCTGACCATGGAAGTCAATCGTCCATGGGATGGGCGGGTTCGGAGAGGACAGGAGATGAGCGCTGCTTTCGCTTTGAAAGATCGGGGGTTAGAAGTGGCAGAGGAAGATCGAACTTTGGCCCATAGGTTCCATTATGGGGGCTCCTACCCTGTGACCTTGTTATGCCACGGGTCTCATTCTACCGACGCACTGCCTTGAAAAGTAAGTGAAAATTTGGAATTGTAGCGGTAAGAAAAGTCAAATTCCTTATAGAAACTTTTTAATCTATGAATTTTGAAGTTCTAGATTGTTGAAGACGGGGATTTTAGTTCAAGATCCTTCTCTTTTTTTTGAAATAAAGGAATAGTTTGCTTCTTGAGCTAAACCAAAGCAATCAAAATGTCATAAAAACACATCCGGAGGCTTTATGTCAAGATGCAATATGCAGTTTGTCTCAATAACTTTAAACCTATTTTAATTCTAGCTTTTGACACTAAATTTCATAGGATTTGCCATTGAAACTATGTCGGTAATCCTTTCAAAATTGTACACAATAGCAAAAGTTCATCATATGCAACTTAGTTAACATTATTTCTTGCTTACCACTACTACTTTCTTTGAGTCCAGAAATTTCCCAAAAAATTCACTTAAAATCTTCCACACAACACTGAACTTCAAACTTGATATTGCTCAGCTTTTAATGGTGATTAAAGGCACACTTTTTGGTGAAAATAGAGTAGGAGACAGAGTTGTTTATCTATCCGGTAGGCGTGTCACTGTAATATGCACCTTTCAATAGTGATTTTAAATCTGCCCTTCTGTTCCTTTGGAAGTTAATTCCAAGAAGAGTCATAAGGATTTGTTTCTGATGGATATCCTCGCCAAGTTTTTCTGGACCCTTGCCAAAATCTACTCCACAATGCTCGCGCTCCTACTCAGACAGTCAAAGGGATACTTCCGAGAGGCAAATGTCGGGGGTCTGCCACTTCATTGCTCCGGAGCCCTCCCATTTCACGCGCTTTGGTGCTCCGGGGCTCCCCCAAATCTGGCGCATCCCCGAAGAAGAGATTTGCGAGCGTCACCGTGACGTCACAAGAAGGCGAAATGGGAAAAAATGGGACCCCTCCCCGGTGCTCGCAAAACTCTGCTCCGGGGGGTGCGCCAGATTTGGAGGAGCCCCGGAGCACCAAAGCGCGTGAAATGGGAGGGCTCCGGAGCACGAAGTGGCAGACCCCCGGCATTTGCCCCCCGGATGTATCCCTTTGACTGTCTAAGTAATTATCTCCTACGGCTACATGCGGCAGGCCTTTGGTTCCTCCTGCACCGCAGCCGGCAAAGGAGGAAAAGTGCTTTGTATTGAGTGCAGAAAGGCGTAGCTAACTCCTTCAAATCAAAGTTGATCATGTTCAAAAAAGACCATTTCACTTGATGGCCCAATATCTGGAAACTTCAGGATTCGCTGAGACTTGGCACACAGGCGTTATTTTGATGCTAATTACGAAATTGATACACATTACGCTTGGTAAGGCTTCTCCGTCCTGCTTGCGGTATATATGCAAAGGATGCGGCGCAGGAGGAAATTTTCGTAATTAGCATCAAAATAACGCCTGTGTGCCAAGTCTTAGCGATTCAAGTTTCCAGATATTGGGCCATCAAGTGAAATGGTCGTTTTTGAGCATGATCAACTTTGATTTGAAGGAGTTAGCTACGCCTTTCTGCACTCAATACAAAGCACTTTTCCTTCTTTGCCCATGTGAGAAATCCCACTGCGAGTAACCGCCAAACTATGATATCAGGTGCCTGTCAAAATCAAGTTTGTTCCGTGCTCTGCTAACAGTGGTTGTGCTTCCCGCAGCTATTACTTAGTTTGAAGAAGATGAATTAGGCTCAAACACTTGTGAAAACTAAGATATTTGACCTCAAATGTGTATGTATATCTTTGACACCTTTCCTTGCAATATACAGTGCGTTGACGTTGACGAGGCCAGCGCCGCGTAGCGCAGTCACACATCTACGCGCGAGCGTTACCATAGGCGCAGCGTGCAGGGACCAAACACTTGTGAAAACTAAGATATTTAACCTCAAATGTATATGTATAGCTTTGGCATCTTTCCTTGCAATATACAGTGCGCACAACATCGCGGTCCTTGTATTTATCGTAATTTTTCCGTTTTTGCAGCAACGGATTGTCATTTTTCTTGCTTTTATGCTCATATGCGATCTCTCTTGATACCGGACATGGTTTTTTTCCGCAGCAAAGGAAGGAGGTGCCACTTTCTTGAGCGTTTCCTCCATGACATCTTTCACTTCATCCAGGCCTTCTTCGGAAGGCTGATTCCGGATGTCGTGTTTCATTATATCGATTTGTGTTCCAACGGACGTAATCGTATATCGTTCAGGTTTGACTGAACAGCGCCAACGTGCTGTTCACTCAGATTGTTCTTTCAACCTATACGATACACGATTACATCTTACGATATAACCTTTAGCTGTAATGAGTAAGAGCACAAGTGTTCTCAGAAATCTCAAATGAATGATTGAATTACACTTTCCTCGAAATACCTTAAACTTCCATTTTGTCTTCTATGTGCGCGGGATACTTTGAGAGGTCTCAGAAAGAGCACCGAAGTAGAGTTTCAGACAGGAAAAGCTCAGAAATTTGGAAGCAGGACAGCGAATAAACTGAGAAAGAAGAAGGCAGAGTAGCTAAATCAAGGACCACGCGTCTTTGCGCCGCAGGGTCCCTGCACGCTGCAGCCCACGGTAGCGCTCGCGCGCAGGTGTGTGACTGTACTACGCGGGGCTGGCCCCATCGAACGCATTGTATAGGGCGTACCAACCACCATTGGTCGCGGATACCCAGGCAATGAGGCAGCGCGTGCGCGCCGTAAGCAGAGGAGACTGTACTTGAGCGCAAAAGCTAACCACATAGAGACTCACGATGCTAATTTATCCCGTGTTCACCTTCTATTCTTATATTAAGTATTAGGTTCCGTACTTGTATCGACTACAAAACACTTCAGATGATGGCGCCGCTCGAGTGAAGTGTGCTCAAACAGGGAGGGTCCGCTTTTTTCGCTCATGGATGGGAGTAGACTATTATCCATTTTGAAATTAGGAAACTTGAGCACGCTTTGCACAAGTATGATTGAGGAACTGTTGTTCGTTATCCTATTTGATTGGACTACAGATCAGAGGAGAAAGTTGTACGAGTGTGTTAACGAAGGTGTGCAACGTTCTCAATCTCCTAATCTCAGAATTGGCGACATAATAAGATTGTCGAAGATAATGCGGTCACACACAGCCGTTAGGTTCCGTTACCGATATGGCATACAAGAAGTATCAAGATGTTGATACAGACATAGCGCGTGAAACCTGGAAAACAGGATATTCCAACATCGACCAAATATAAAATGAAGTTCAATAAATGCGCAGGGAGAGGCTTCTATACAAATCAACAAGAAACTTTCGAAGAGAGCGGTGTTCGACCCTAGCCACAGATTTGATAGTAGACGCTTTCGGGCTCGGGCGCTAATTTTGCTGCCCGCGTTGCGCGCTTGCAGCCTCATCCCATGGCCAAACTTGCCACATCGAGCCACATTCTAAATTTTGATAAATCACGGGATTGGCGCTCTCGCCTGTGCGGGTACTTCTTAATAATCGCCCAAACAGCGAGTGGGAGATTGATAAATACCGCCCCTGGACTTGAATTATGTTCTTGTCGAATTATTCTCACATTCTCAAAACATCCAATTCAAGCTTACTCCACTTACTATGTATTTGTCCGCAGTTAGTATACTCGTCAATTATAAACAGTCCCAGCTTCATCAGCAGGTATCAACATCTCACAATTATCTGCCCAAATCTGTTTATCACAAATCTGAACCTCCATTCACAGATCCAAACCTCTATTCAAACAGCTTCCTCCCGCATGAATCCCATGGCAATTTTGATCCGTTTGCAATCAGGGTTGAGCTGGAGAGATACTCGCACTTGACGACATACGCTACCTTCTTCCTTCTTCTTGTAGTCCTATTCGCGACGATCCTGCTCTGTGAGGCGAATTGAGAGAACGGCCTTTGCGCAAAATTCACATAACATGGTCATTCTTGGATCAAAGCATACCTTCAGCGATTCCGAAAATCGCTGAAACTGCGACATGGCACTTGGCCAGATCTTTACTTATTTAACGTGCATAGCTCTTATATGCATAGGCGTGTAGCTCTCGTGTATTGTCACAAATGCGCCAAGCCTTGCCCCATCAAAGCGCTTACGCCCAACAACGAAGAATTGTTACGTGTCGAATCGCGCAGCGACTAAAATCGCGTGAGATATGCCTTGGGCCTCAGAGATAATAGTAGTAAAAGAAGCGAAGCGATATAAGAGTCGGAATTCAGTAGATTTCTGAGCTAACAAAATGCTCTCTCACCGCCGATGTCAAGCGAAGCAAGTTACAAAGCGGTAGTACACTTTTAATCCAATCAGCGCAGGTCCGAAACTACGCTGGGAACCCGGATTGCGGGTCAGCGCAATCGTGGAGGGTTCTGATGCATGCTTCCTCTCTGACAAGTGTAAAGTATAGGCGCACAGTCGATTGAAAATAAGGATGTTTCAGTGGACTTTATAAAAAGAGCATTCAAACTTGTTCGATAGCATATCGCAGATAGATGCTTGTAGCTGCCTTCATTGGGCTTCAAATTAATTTGTGAATAGACAACAGCAGAGGTAGAAATGGCATTCTATAGGGGTTAAAGGAAATCATGCGCTGCTTTAAATGAGAAGATCATCTGGATTTTGGAAAGAGGTGGACCTTTTTTAAATAAATTACACTAGTAATGAGAGCGAGGGAACGTAGGAAGAATTGTGTGACGGAAGCACAGAACTAGGAAAGGAGGTGCTTTTTTCGGAGTTATACAATACCGCTCACATTTTTTGAAAAATAGACGCGAATATACATACATGTCGCTACATGTCGCATGAGACATGTCGCCTACATGTATGTATCACCATCGCGTGGCCATATCTCGCTTCGTTGTGGACGAATCCTGAATCCAAAGCCACCATTCGATTCAGCTCTGCGCGGGAATCTTCTGATGTATTGGAAGTGGGGGTACGATGTCTTCGATATACCGTTTCCAGTTTTTTCAAATTCTTCTGCGGAGGACCTTTCGCGAATATGTGAAGCAGCAGCCTATCCAACATAAGACTTCACTAAGTACTATTCGATAATACTGTTCTTGTAGACTATTGTGCGCTAAAAAACGGGCTCAGACTTCTTTCCAAAGAAGATAGAAGCGCAGGTGAATTCTGGAAAAATCACGCGTTTTTGGATTCTACTCGCCATAACTTCCTCGGAATAAGTATATTTTGAATCCGAAAATAGCGTGCTCGGCTCATCAAGGCGAATCTTTTTAAATACAGCGTGTCCTTGATATTTCGATTTCAGTAGTCTTAATCTTTCTGCGGACGTCTCTTCGCGAAGGTGTAAAGCAGCGAGCATTGTCCCGGGTAAATTCCAGCAGGGCTTTTTATAGTACTTTTTGTGTAGATTATGATGCGCTAAACAGTAGCCGCAGATTTCTTTTCAAAGGAATTAGAAGGGCATGTGAATTGTGGAAAAATCTTGTCGTCCCAAATTCTACTGGCAAAATAGTCTACAAGAACAGTATTATCGAATAGTACTTAGTGAAGTCTTCTATGTTGGATAGGCTCATGGGACATGTAGCGACATGTATGCATTCGCGTCTATTTTTCAACCGTTCCTATCTCAATTTGGAATGAAGCACACTCGCTCTGTCCATAACTTTTGTTTACCACTTGGCTTTCATCTAAACCATTGATTCTTCTTTTATGTGATTGAAAAAGGAACCGCACGCGCAATACATTTTGAGCTTGTAATAAAAAAATCTTTTGTGAGGTTATAAATGCAGATTTTCGACGAGTAGGTTCCATAGCGTTGATGACTTTTCAAAACAAATTTGTAGTACCAATTTGGCAAACGCCTAGTTTTGATTTTTTTTTCTTATGACCATTTCACAAGCTGGGTGTGCATCAGCGCCAACAATGACTAATGTTCCGCATCATCTCAGTGCTATTTTATCAAGATGTTTTATTAGAAGCGTTTGATATTGAACTCGTAAAGTTCATTTTCAGTTGATCGATTAATGTGGGTCTTTGGATGGTCTTGGCCACCAAGTTTGTTATTACTGATGTTGTTCCTATATCTCATCATAGAACTATATTTTGTCAGTTTGAAGCTGACGGTCTTCAGAGTGCTTGTAAAGCGCAAAAAGGTACGTGACATTTATTTCTGCTGTTCAGCTGAAGGTGTTCAGCCAAGTCGAGTGACTACCTTAAGGCAGTACGAGGTACGGCGGAGAAGCCAGCGTTGACAACTGTCGATCCGATGGACTCGTACAGTCGGCGTTCCACGGTTATTGTCACGGATGAGTTCCTCCAACAACCGCCTCGCTTCTGATCTCAATACATATTATCATGGGTTAGCTGACAGAAACAGCCATGATTTTGATATTTCATTTGTGTATTTCAGGTACTAAATGCGGTTCTCCTTATGTGTCTTGCTCAACATGCCTCATCTCTCTCTACTGCAATAAATCGCCTCGCTCTTTTTTTTTCTTAACTTCAGAATGTCATCGTACAAATGTGTTGTTATCAATGCCCCTTTCCGATAGGATACTCAGTGAAGAATCACGCAATCGGGTGTAAGTATAGGAGTTTCGAAGGAGTGTAACTGAATGACTCAGTGTAGATAAATCGATTTCGATCATCTGGTTTTAGCAAGCATTCTCCAATCATGAAATTTTAGGGGGGCGTGGCTAACACCACGCTTCTTCATCGCAATATATCCCCCTCCCTCCAATGCGTTTACAAACATACAGGGCTCGGCACAGGGGCTCACTGGGACTTGATTATCGCTTTGGCGGTCAAAAGAAAAGGGATATCGTTTTTGAGGGGGTCTAAAGTGGACGCCAGAAAAAAATGTGTCAGCTTAACCTAGTATGATGTAAAGAAATCACCAATGCAAGAAGTCTTTGGAGCGGAAAAAACCTTGAAAATTGATTACGCAAAGCAGTCAAACTGATTTTGTATAAACTGACCAATTAAAAAATTTTGAGGAGTTGATCGAATTTACGCTCATCAACCCTACTCCCAACTTTCATCACTCACCCCAACAGCTTCCCCCACCCCCCCCCCCCCACACCCGGGAGACGGTTCGGAGGCGAGATCTTTTTAGGGGTCACCATCTTAAAAGCCCAGTTCAGAGCTATGCGAGTCTTTCAAGAAAACCAGATAAAGTGCTCTGGCTTAGTACAGGGCTTATCAACCGCAGTGTCGGGTGCACCAGCGCTCCATTTCTGCGCGGCCACCTCGCCTGGGCTCAGGGCCCGGCACCGATGGTTTGGGGTCAAACTGGACTTCGTTTTTGGAGTTAGAAGCAACGGGGACATCGTTTTTATGAGGTCCTGGAGGAAGCGCCAAAAAACACGACGAACATGTCAGGTTTCACGAGTTGAACCAAGAGAGCCCAAATTCGGAGCCATGTGATTGTTTGTGCGCTGTAAACAAGTATACAATATTACTCCAAACTATGTTATGTAAAAAGTTCCCAAAACTTATGTGTCTGAATATCCGTTCCGGATTTGTTGGTTTCTAGACCAACCACCGAACCAACTGGGTTGGTTCGGAGCATAAATTTCGGAGAGTTCACATAAGTTTTGGACGTTTTTGATTTGGACGATTAAAACGCACAAAAATCTATTATATAGTGAAGAGAGCGAATCAAACTATTGCCTCTCCTCTTCTTTTGAGCCAAAAGTAGTGCAAATCTATACGCTTTGATAGATATTGCGCTCCAATCACACGCGGTGTCCTTTGAACTATGTGGCGAAAAATGCACTGCCAGATAGTTGAGGCCACAGATTTGGTTGGCCTAGGAGGTTCTCGACATTCTGAGCGCTAAAATGGTACACTACTCAATGACAGAGCCTTTAATCAACTCGAAATGTTTTCTTTTTGCTTTTTTTGTTGTATTAGTTACCTCAAAATGCGCTTTTTTCGCTTTTTTAATGTTATTTTGACTAATTAAGGGTTTCCCTACTGATTTTTACGTCAAGAGGGACTTCGTAAATTTTCGCGAAGTCATGGGGGACTTCGTTTCCAGAAACGCTTCATACCAACGCGTGCCGGGCCCTGCCTGGGCTCCGCGCCTCTTTCGCGAACATGCTCTCTGATCATTTTCCCACCGTGAGTGCGGGAAAGGCGGAGCCTCAATCGATTGGATACGATTAGAGAGCATATTCGTGAAAGAAGTGCAGAGTCCTGCGCGGAAGCAGAGATGCTGGTGTGAAGGCTACCACTTGCTAAGGCTCCCGCCAGAATGCCGAAGTTATGCCAGCGCTACGCCAGCATTTCGATCGACACACGTGTATTTCGTTGGGGCGGGGCTAGCTCAGCAGGTAGATGTCCCCAACGAAATACACGTGTATCGATCGAAATGCTGGCGTAGCGCTGGCATAACTTCGGCACTCTGGCGGGAGCCTAAGTTTGAAGGCCTTCGGTGAAAACTTGATTGAAATATTCACGAGACACTAGTTGCATTTTCACGGATTCTGACCTTCAATACTTATGTTTCATATCTACTTCAAGCCAATAAGATCGAGCAACCCGTGGGAAAATCATACATGTGTCTTGTAAAAAATTTGAATTGCACGAGGAAACGATACTTGGTGTCCATGGCCTTTTGAAATGAGATGTATACCATACACTCGCCTTGGATCGCTGATTCCGAGTCTGACTTTCGTTTCTGCTAATCGTTCAAAAATTATGAAGGATTTTCGCGACAAGGGAAATATGGTTGGAATGGCAAAACCGCCGCTACGATGTGGTGTATTGACTAGTGTGATAGTCACACAAGTTAATACAGGTTTAGGTCCGAGTCCTTTCGTGTTTTTCTGTTTTGCATTGCCTCAACCAAGCTTCTTTTTGAAGACTAGGCATCCTCGACCGTATTTTTTTGGGCGATCAATGACGCGAAAATCATTTATAACTTTTTTAGAGAAACGATTAGCAGAAACGAAAGTCGAATTTGGAATCAGGCTTCAAGACGAATATAGTGGTATACATCTCATCTCAGAAAGCCACGTACACCAAGTATTGTTCCCTTGTTAGAATATCATAAGATCTTAGGCCTGCACTAATTGGAGTCCATCTGGCAATAAAAATTGCACCTCTTAACATACACCCCACACCCCGCCCCTCTTTTAACCCATTTCCTCATCTTCTGGACACGTCGCACATGCTCATCACTGCCCTACGGCTCCCATTCCCCACAAAAACAACAGTCTCCCGCTCTCCGTGCAAGCGCGGGAATGTGCCTCGAAATAAACAAAAGGCTTGTTAACAGCGAAGTGGGAATAGTATGACACCAAAATTGGTGTGCAGATGCGCAATAGGGAGTAACAACTATATATGAGAAATCATGAAAAGATTATGTCTGAGGGTGACAAATTTTTCTCGGAGTTAGGTGGCTTTTGAGCAACCTCGAGAACCATATGAGGTGGCTGCTTAGAGAGAACAATGTCATAAATTTTCTACTCTTCACATAATCTTCCCGCATTTTCACATAGATTTATAATCTAAATTCAAAACCCTACAAGCCAGTCTTTAAACCATCCCAAACCACCTCTTTCCCGCTTAATTACAGCCTTTCAAAAACTTTGCATCGCGTCGGTAATCGTGCTCCATGCGCGCAGCGGTGCGCGCCGGACACGACGTATTCGAAATGCAGAACATCTATTTTCATTACTTTCGCCGCAGGTCATCGCTTTATAGAGCGCGGCAGACATCACGGACTTGACTATTCGCTATCCACTATCATGCTTCATGCCTCCCATTCATCTGAATAATAATGCTTGCCTGTACATGCATGTCCTTGCTCGTGCTTTAATCACCGACAGTCACATTGACATATGTTACCTTACAAACTGATCGTGTGGTGGCGAGTTTATAGTGATTTCGTAAAAACAAATAATTCCAGTCGAGTAACATTTTCTAGGTAAAGATTTGAGCGATTTATAACATTGCTGTCCTCTTCTTTTGTAGACGTCGAAGGTTGCTCGCAACTACGCATTCGAGTTATTACCGGCTACGATGTACCAGGATTTTTTTTTCACAGGCACTGCTTCATTGTGTTATTGATGATTTAGTTGTTGTTTCCTTGATTTGTGATTAATTTCGATATCAGCCTTCATTTTGATGTAGCTTACCAGCTACTTAGAGGCTCAGGCTGAACCTCGCTACAATGTGCTGTGTGCGTTTTTTGAAATGCTACCTTCTAGTGAGGGATGTGAAACGCAATTTATCTCACTATAATGACAAATGCTGGACTTGTGCTGGACTTAGCTTTGTCACGTCTGTTTCACTAAGCAAGCATATCCGTACTTCTTTTTCTCTCGTGTTTCCGATCGGGTATGACAGCGGAGTAATAGGCCCGTAGTAAACTTCCTTTCAGGGGATCTGCCCTGAGACGGACCTGAGTTGATCGTATGGCGCCCCGGTCTAGCATCCGGCGAGCTATTGATCTGAATGCGGATCGCTTTTCAGGCATAAAAATCTTGCGCGCTATCAAAAAGGAAACACCTACACCTCTTGTGCAGATTTGCTCAAACAGGTATGTGACTGGTACTAAGCCGGCACGACTGTGGTTCGGCGCCGGACAGTGGCGAATTTTTGCGCATCACTGAGCAATCTTTGATAGCGGCCACCATCAAAGAAAATCGATGACGGCCCCTATCAAGGGAATCCACAAACTAAATGTGCACAAACAAAACTGCGTTTTTTTAACCAAAATTCCATCAAAAATTGAGGAAGTAGGGACAAAATCGAATGGAAATAAATAAAGAGATTGTCGCTCTGAGTAGCCTTTGTAGAAAAACTAAGCAAACTCTGCAAAAAGGAAAAAACCTATTCTTCTTTTTTTTGCCGAAATCAGCTGTTCATTGATCCTTCCCTTTTTGGGCACCGTATTGTACAGTTTTGCGCAATCTTGTACTGCAACAATACGTCAAGTACGATGTCCCGTTAGTTACTCACGAGCAACTTACGGGATTTTTCTCTGCGTCTCATCCCTTGCACACTATTTCGGTCAATTCATCTCAAAATCGAGGCTGCTCTTACGGACTTCAGGTGAATTCATCGCGACACATGCCCTGACGATAACCCTTCAGATCAGGTCGCATTCTTAAGCATGTGAGAGTGACCGCTAGTCAGTTTATCTTAAATACCTCAACTCAGCCCCTCAGTTTGAGATCATCTGAAATGAAGTGGGGTTTACTACGGGCCATAGTCACAGATTATGTCTCATCAGCTAGAGTTGTCAGATATTCGATAATCTCGTGCTTCTGTCATTCATTACCGGTGATTTTTTCGTTGTTCGGTGTGTAGTTTCTTCCGTAATGGAAGTGAAGAAGTATACTATATTTATTGTCAAATTTCAGTATGTCAAAAGGAAAAATTTAGCTCAAATGACTCGAGTCAAAGCTGAAAATCATAAATCTGCATATGAAGCGTTCTATGATTATCTCATTTCGGTCACTGACTTCACAGAAAAGTGGCCGAATAATACAGTCGTAATAAAAAAAGTCTATGTGTACTGAATTCTGGTGACTATTATCAGGGCAGAACGAGGTCTGTGTCCTAAGCGCAAATTTTCGCTTGAAAATTGGTAGAAATTGGTAGATT